TTTAGGGTACCATAACTTTGACAACCACCCACTTGGACAAGATAGCCTTGAAGCTTTGCATCGAGTTTGAAGACCCGGGTCCCGGACGCCGTCGGGTCTTTCGAGCAGCGGCATGGCGCCGAGAGAAAGTTTGTGAACTACGGAGACACTGTGATTCCTTGAGGCTTCTGAGTTTAGGGTTTAGAGTATAGAGTTTAAGGTCGAGAAGATTCGGTGGGTTTTGTTAGGGTTTGGAGTTTAGAGCTCAGGGTTTAAAGGATTCGGAAGGGCTTAGGGTTGAGGGGATTCGGTGGGTCTGAGGCGCTTTGGATGCTCGAAGTCGTATAGGAGTGCAGAAATTGCTCGTGCAAGGAGGCTCACATGACAGACAGTCGTAGGACGCACAGCGCATTTCGCTCATATTGATCGCCTTCCACTCCATTGCATAACCACTAAACAGCATGTCTATATGTATGTCTATGTGTGTATATATAGACACATACACATTCATGCATACACGCATACATACATGTAATCCTCTCCGAGGCGGAAGCGTCGAAGAGGGGCACCTTCAGGACTCCCAGATGCCCGAGCCTCAGCCGAAGAGAGGTTCAATGATCCGGTCGCACGGGGGCCTGAATAATTGGACAGTTTTGGGTTTAGGGATTTAAGATGTTAGAGTTTGGGATTTAGGTTTAGGCTTTTGGGAGTTAGGGCTTAGGGGCCTTAATAAGTTAGGGCTTAGGGGCCTTAATAAGTGGACTAGGGTTTTGTCATACAGTATCGTAAGTTTCTTCTAGTATATTAATAGACAATAAGGAACCCCAAGGAATCGGCAATTATGTAGACTTCTAAATTAGTGTTCCAAGGTTCTGAGGAGTCCACCATTCAAGTCAGATCAGTCCTGAAACTCACCAGGGGCCCTGGCGACCACCCGATGTTGGAGAAGTTCCTTGGTGCGGGATGTGCGGTGCTTCTGGTAGCTACTAGCTAGTACAGCAATCCAGTGGAGGCTTTGCCCGACCCTCTCAGCTCGGTTACACCATCTTGAACCTTAGGGTTTTGGGGAGTCTAGGGAAAGAGGAATAAGGGTCCCATAAGGGCTACAGCATCTCAGAATTTCTTACTTGAAGACGCATCAGTGAGAAAGCTGTGGAGTCGCGACCACGCGCTTCGTCCGGCCGAGAGTCTGAAACTCCCATTCTGCGAACGCCTCATCCGAATGAGCCTCGGCAGCCATGAAGGCTGTTGCTTCGGACATGCTTGCCTGCCTTCAACAGCAGATCCTCAAAGACGTCCAAAGTTACATCTAGATGCCCATATAGTGCAGTTAGTAGTTTAGGGCTTCTGCTGCCGCTATTCCACGACAGCACTCCGTGAAGGCTTAGGCTGGTCCATCTCCGGAGCGGCTCTTCGGAATCGCAATGAAGACAAGATCCTAGACGTAACTTGGAGGATACAGTACACATGGTAACACTCTGGAGAAGTGCGAAGCCAGGCACCTTGCCCTTAGTAGCCCTTCAGGGTGTTTTTGCTTGTCAAGCACTCCATATGCCGTGCCTCTTCGAATAAGTTGGGCTAGTCTTCCAACGAAGGCAATGATCATTATGCTGACTGCATGAACATCTGCCGACATGTGTCCCTGATGGCCCAGCACACAGGCCTTCATCATGCACTCCGCTATGGCTTCCAGGAGCAGCAAACCTCGCTTCTCGAAGCATGAGCATGGCTAAGAACGAGAAAGGGACGACCAAGACCTGAAAGTTGGAAGAAGCTTGGGAGTGAACGAGAATTGAACCCATGCCAAGCTTGAAAGGCAGTTGGTCAGGGGGGCCCAGGGAACATCCGGTCAAGCTGCTTCTGTGGTACATAGCTCCAAGAAGCTCTAAAGCCTGAAGCCCAAGGTAATTCTGGCCGAATCCAATCCCAACTGCCCCTGCCAGCGAATTCATTCCTCCAGCCGCGGCACCGCGGATGCCGACAGTGGAAAGCCTGTCACGTTTAAGGGCTTTGTGCAAACACAGCAGGGCTGGGGCCTCATGAATCAGCCTCGAACGTTCCAGTAACTCTGCATTTTCTGCCGCCAGTACTCAGATGTAGCTACATCTGAAACCCTAAACCCCAAACCCTAAACCCTAAACTCCCAACCCTAAACCCCAAACCCTAAACCCCTAAACCCAAAATCCCTAAACCCCTAAACCGAAGCCCTAAACCAAAAACTGACCTAAACCCTAAACCCCAAGATCATGGGCCCAGGTGAGGACGCGAAGCCTCCAAGCCAGGCCGGCAAGCTCCCGGGGGCGTAAGCACCCGACCTGCCAACTCGATGGAGTTTTAGGGAGTTTTAGGGTTTAGGGGTTTCGGGAGTTTTAGGGTTTAGGGAGTTTTAGGGTTTAGGGAGTTTTAGGGTTTAGGGAGTTTTAGGGTTTAGGGGTTTAGGGGTTTAGGGGTTTAGGGGTTTAGGGGTTTAGGGTTTATGGGTTTCGGGGTTTAGGGGTTTAGGGTTTAGGGGTTTAAGGGTTAAGGGGTTTAGGGGTTTAGGGGTTTAGGGGTTTAGGGGTTTAGGGTTTAGGGGTTTAGCGGTTTAGGGGTTTAGCGGTTTAGGGGTTTAAGGGTTTAGGGGTTTAGGGGGTTTAGGGTTTAGGGTTTTAGGGATTTAGGGCTTTAGGGTTTAGCGGTTTAGGGGTTGAGGGTTTAGAGGTTTAGAGTTTAGGGGTTTAGGGGTTAAGGGTTGAGGAGTGTAGGGGTTAAGGGTTTAGGTGTTTAGGGGTTCAGGGTTTCGGGTTTAGGGGTTTAGGGTTTAGGGGTTTAGGGTTTAAGGGTTTAGGGGTTAAGGGTTTAGGGGTTTTGGGGTTAAGGGTTTTTAGGGGTTTAGGGTTTAGGGGGTTAGGGTTTCTTTTTTGAACACCTTTTTCAGCCTAGCAGTTAAGGTCGGCGAAAGTCACAGTTGTGGGAGGCTGGGGGGTTTAGCGTTTAGGGTTTGGGGTTTACGGATTAGGGTTTAGGCTACATGGGAGTTTCCGAAAATTACGGGGTACCTTATTTGGGTGCCCTTATAATGAGGATCCTACCATCTAGGGCACTATAATGAAACTGGTGACAGTGACGTGGTACCAATACGAAGAATACTGATACGGAATAACAGTACTAGTATGAATACGAACACTTATACTGCTACGAATCATAACAACACGAGAAGAACAATAATCGTTGCAACGGCAGGAAGAAGAATGGTAATTTCAACTCGTCATGGCAAGAATAGCAATCATCATCATCATCATCATCATCATCATCATGGTAAGACTAGTAACAATAATAATAACAATAACAATGATAACAATAATAGTAATAAACAATTAGAAGAAAAGCCAGAGTGAAGAACATGATAACAATGGTGCAAATAATAACGCCAAGGGTCATGATAATAAACGATATTGATAACAACAATAATGCTCACCATCATCAAGAGAATAAACATACTGATGAAGATAATAACATTCATAGTCATAGTAGTAGAATACCCGTACTAGTACTAGGACTGGATTGAGGATGACTAGTAGTAATAATAATAGTAGCAGTAGTATTCGTAATCGTAATGGGGTGACGGTAGCTGCTGGATGTCTGCTGGTGCCTGTGCTGGAGTGCACGAAGGCACGGAAAGAGGCAGTACGAGGATCAGGATCTGTCCGATAATAACATCGCTTCGACACATTCAGAGTAGGATCCGCCACGAATGGGAGTTTCCGAAAATGGGGGACTCTCATATAGTACCCTAAACAGTAAGATCCTTATTACAAGGACCCCCAAAATTAGGTACCCCTTATTTCTTGAAACTCTCTAATGGCTTCCTAGCACACCCACTAGCCGTAGTCCTTGCACCACGAAGGGCGGATCCGAAGCTTCTGTGGGTTTAGGGTTTAGGGGTTTAGGGTTTAGGGTTTAGGGGTTTAGGGTTTAGTGGAACCCCAACACGCCAAGAACCGACTCGCTGAGCCCAACCAAGACATGGGAGTTTCCGAAAATTAGGGGTACCGTATTCTGGGGTCCTTAGAATAAGGATCCTACTATTTAGGGTACTATTTAAGGGTCCCTATTCTCGGAAACTCCCACATGCAGCCACTTTTTCGACTTTCATCTGTAGATATACGCGGCGGTCCCAGGGCACTTGCCGAGATAGATCCCCTGCAAGTCTTGGGCTGTCTGTTCGCAGCGCCGGCTATCTCAAGCACAGGACCTCCTCGACTGAGATCAGATGCAAATTCTTGCGTCTGTGTTCGATATCTAGCGGAACAATGAGGAAGCACATCGAAAACGTGTCGGGAGCGTCCCACACTTGAGAATCTGAAAACGCCCACATGAGAAAGGTCCCCGCCAGATGTTGACCGGCAGGGGGGCCTGCGCGACCTGTGCAGAACGAAATACTTGCACTGCCGATGTCACGAGGCGTGGGCAAGGTGTCTGATGTGTTTCTCATAGAGTTCTGGGCTGATTCCCAGGCTCAAAATGCTCCCCCAGCGGTTCTGCCCACTCTGGTCTGGCGTATCGCTTCAGAAGGGGCTGGTTACCGCGGGATAAACGACTGCTTGGTCATGGCTCTGCCAGTGACTGGTGATAAAGGCACATGCCCGAGATCTGTGGCATGCTAGCTACAAGGCAGTTGCAGCGTTGCGGTTGTACCGCCGCCGCACGCTGCGCGCAGCCCCAAGCGAAAATTGCTCGGAGACATGTGGGAAATCATGGAATGAACAAAAGTAGCCCAGCGAAAAACACGGATCTATCTGACCGTGAATGCTGTGCTGAGCGCATCGATGAATAAAGTACTGCTGATGCTCGTTGCCGTGCAAAGATTCAAGACCACTCTCCAACGGAAGGATACATCTTCCAAGCATGCCCCAATTGCGAGATGGGAGCAGTAGTTTCAGGTTCAGGGGCCTTAGGACTCATCGTTGAGGCGATTGGAGGAAGGAAGAGAGTAGGCTGATCTCGCCACACGCTACCAAAAGCCCGGGCCAGAGCCAGAGCTAGGCTTTGCCCAGCACCTCGCGCCAGACCTGCTCTGCTTCCCGGATCTCCCGAGCATCGCTTCGTGCTGCCTTTGACTGGGCCTTGGGTCGTGCCTCGGGGAACCTGAGCCTCTGCACCCACGCCCGGTCTTCCTGGGACAACTTCTGGAAGTTTCGCCTTGGTTGGGAGAAGGAGCAGCTTGCAATGAGAGACGAGGCTTCTACAACTTGCCTTGCCGCGAGGCCATGTTGCACGCAGCTTTGGGCTTTGGGGCAGGCTGTCGAAGAGATCTTAGTTGGATTTGTGGGTTTCAAGCCCCTGCATGCCAAAGCTTCGTCATTCGCTGCATCAATCTTCTTGCTGGAGTTCGGTAGCCTCGGTCATCAGAGGTTTAAGAATTGCGAGGGTTCCTGGTGGTTTAGGGCAAAGGTTGGTCAAGTGGGTTCAACCCAGGCTCCTGGATGCCGGGCCTGGAGCTTTTGGGTACAGCTGCCCACGGCACCATGCTGCTGGGCAATTTCAGATTTGGTCTGGAGTGGTAGCTAGAAGCACCCACCGACTGCCTGCAAAGAGCTTGCATCCTTACATGCAGACGAAGACTGGGATCTAAGGCCAAAAAGGCCAAGGCAGGTGTAAGCAGGATATCCAAAGCATTGACGACCGTTCATGACATCTTCATGCTCTATCACATCAAATCCTGCAGCATCTGAAAGCCTATGCAGCAACAGCCACCCCAAGCACATCTTGATCCACCATGTCAGAAGATGCGAGAGTCAGTGCTGTAGCAGCAGGCTCGAAAGTCCAAAGCGGGCAGCCTGCCCCTCATTTGTATAACATACAAGATATAACACATACCATCTATAGCCAACCATATGTACTTAGTTACTAACCAATAGGCCATGAGCGGAGGCGATGTGTCGATAATTCATGCAAGGAGCTGTGATGTCCTTTGCTGCATGTTCGGCATGGCAACCCGAGCTCAGGCACCTCAACAAGAGTAGGATGCGAACTCCCGATACTGTTCCTGTCAAGTTCATATAGCCTCACAGGTACACTAGGGTGCTGATAAGGGATTCTATACCATACTTCTATCGGGACCTGTTCGACCCTACTATGTTATGCCAGCGTGGAACCCCCAACAGTCAGAGAAGACCACCTGAAGACCCCACCGAGACGACTCTGCCACAGAATCACCACAAGTTCTAATCCCCAACGCAATTGACGGCGGGGCAAACGACACAACAACGCAGAGCCCAAAAAGCCGCAGAAGGTGGCCCTGCTAGAAGTTCGGACTCAGACATTTCCCGCATCACCCAAGTTACGCCAACATACCGGATTTTACATGCACTGGATGTCCTTGGTCCATGGGAGACGGGACTCGCGTGGCCCGCTGCCGAGAACACGATTCCAGTTTATTGCTAGAAGAACTACGCCGCAACCTCTGGGTTTGCCGACCGGGCACGCTTGACACCGTGGTCTCCATTATGATCGTGATCATGATCAACATCATCACCATTATCATCATCATCCGCAAGCAACGCGACGACGACCACCACCACCACCACCAGCATCATGAGTCATCAATATCACCACCACCGCCCACCGGCGACATGATCATCAAGCGCACCAGCAATGATCGCCAACGCGGTCATGAAAGCCGAGCCATGGCCGGAAATGGAAGGAATGGCGTCTCGACATGATGAGGTATCCTCTTGAGACCTAAATTTCTGAATCAAACCCTGAAACCCCCGATCCCCAGCCCCTGCACTCCCCTAATCCTACACCCTAGGTTTCAAGTGGGTGAAGACCATAATGACCTTGTGATGTCAAAGACCCAATTCCGAGGCCTCAATCTCAATGATCTCGGGTATCATGTCGAAGGAGACTCGCCTCAGGCGTGACAACAATTTTTGTTGGGGATTAAGGCAGGTGAGGCTCAGCACGGTGCACTGCGAACAAATCTATGCAGTTCAACGTCATGTCATGTCATAAACCACGACACAAAGGCATCATCCTGGGACTACCTTAAACCCCTGAACCCTAAACCGCTCTTACAGCCTCTTTGGAGACAGGAAGGAGGCGTCAGTGCGAGGCGTCTCTGGCATCTCCGACCTGCTTTGCGAGCCCATCCGGCTTTCAGCTGAGGGCACGGCTTAGGGTTCAGGGTTCAGGAGGTTGCGTTTTGGGCTTTGGTAAACCATCGCATGCAGTCGGCAGTAGAACCAGTAGGCTGTCTTACTTTCAGGATCCAGGCTTTGAGACTGGCGAAGTGAGAGTGGATGTTGAGGAACAGGGCAACGGCCCCACGTGCATACAAGGAATCGCAAAAGGGAGTACGCATGTTGTGAATACTGGGCCGTGTATGGTACGACTACTCTAGACTTCGCAGGATGTACTACGTATCTCTAATTCTGTTGCTCCGCAGGCGCGCATACATGCATACAAAAACACATAATTGCAGACTTGCATATATACACAAAGAGATACACAGAGATCTGGCACTAGTGTCCTAGGTCCTAGAGTGCTGGTATGCCTTTGAGACATGTGCCACAAGTAATCAGTCAACGTGCAGATTGAGCCCGAGCCCGTTATTACGCCGCACAAGATTACGGGAAACTCTAAACCCCTAACCCCTAAACCCTTACTTAAACCCTAAACACCTAAACCCTAAACCGCTATCCATGCCTCTTTGGAGAGAGGAAGGAGGCATCCGTGCGAGGCGTCTCTGGCGTCTCCGACCTCTGAGGGCTCATGGGCCTTCGGGTCTAAGACTTGGGGTTTCGGGGTTTAGGGGGTTAGGGACTTAGGGGTTTAGGGGGTTAGGGATTTAGGGGTTTAGGGGTTTAGGGTTGAGGGAATTAAGGGTTTGTAGTTTAGGGTCTGGGAATGCTGGCAATGCCAAAGTCTGACAACTATTAACATGATAGTCAAACAGGCTGAAGTGCCAGTGTTCGGGAAGGACCTCCACTGGAAGTAAGCCATAGATGAACATGAGATTACAACTGCGTTTTCTTGAACCCAGCATCATCCAATACCTGCCGTGCAGCATATTTGGTACCTTCTCTACGCAACGTACTGAAAGGATCATGGGACTTAGTAACTAGGGTTATAATTAGGGTAACTATACTTATAACCCCAAGTAAGGTACTTATAACCTTACTTACTAGGTCCCATGATCCTCCAAGTACTGTTTCATGCCTAGCGTTCTGAAACACGGTGCTTCCCGACCTCTGACATCACACTCCCGCCGAGAGACGGAGGATTTGAATCTTCAAACGAGAGAGAGCATCAACTGACACAGGGGCCTTCATAATTAGAAGAGGGTTTTGGGACCATTTTACTGTAATTGGAATAAGGAACCCCCAAAATAGTATAGGTAATTATTAAGACCCCTACATTAACCATACGAGAACATGAGCCGATCGGCTTGCTAACATGACCTCACCACCAGTATTGGTTCATTGCGAATTTGTTTCGAAAAGGCCCTCTAATAGACGAGTTTTGGGGGTACTTTCCAGTATCCTTACTTATATTGGGGACTGTAAGGGAATCTTGCTACAAATAACTTCTGAGCCCCCATGTTGCCCCGGCGATCCTCCACCCAAAAGCAACCGAATGAGGGCGCCATGCTCGCCACAGGCAACCGTACCATCGAATGAATCCGCTGAGCTGTATCTATCAATGGCCATACTCTTGCGAACCCCAAACTCCGAACTATATACCCGACCAAACGGAAGTAAAAGTTCAAATCTGTGTGTATATATATATAACATAAATATATATATATATATATATATATATATATTTATTTATTTATTTATTTATATTTATATATATATGTGTATATATATATGTATATGTATATGTATATGTATATGTATATATGTATATATGTATATATGTATATATGTATATATGTATATATGTATATATGTATATATGTATATATGTATATGTATACACACAGACACACATGGCCATCCCAAATCCTAAACCCTAAACCCTAATATCTCAAGCCTTCCGAGGAACAGCAAGGACGCCGTGGTATCCGTCGAGTCCGTACAATCACAGTGGACCTCCCACTGTGCAGTTTGGGGGCTCGGGCTGCTGGCAAGCATCTCTTGTTTCAGTATTACGGCTTAGAGTTTTGTGGGCGGTGGGAGTCGGTCTACACGCAATTCAATCTCCGGTGAGTAAGGCAAGCAAGCTGTCGACGGGCCTTCGACTCCTTCTTCCTGTAGGGGCATGCGAAGCCCGTGTAGACCCGCGAGAGGAGGTCGCTCAGGCGTCGGCGCGGTGCCATAGGCAGCTCTCGCGGCAGCACCGGTTCCATTTTTGCGAACATCACGTCTGTGAGCTCGGCCATTGTGGTCAGAGCTGAGAAAAGCACCGCTCGGGGGCGGATGTGAATCATCTGAGGCTGAAAGGATTCCGCAGCCGGCATCACACATCTAATTTGCAATAGACGAGCTGGTGCAGCAGTGCCTTCATGGAAAAGAAGACTTTTTCGAATCGTTGATACCTGCTTGATACTTTTACAATACCTGTGCAGCCTACTGTAACCTTAAGATAATACATGCACGGTAGAAGGACATCCGGCATGATGTGGTACACCACAAGAGAGCTGACGGAATGAAACATTGCCAGCCGACAACGCCTGGGCTTGCGCATGCAACGAGAGGGCCAGCAGCGGGGGCTCCTCTCGAAAAGCCTCATTTGTCTGATTCTTAGTAGGGAATGGGGGAATGGGTTACAGACTACTATAAGGGGCCGTTAAGGGACCATCATATGGATCTGCTCCCCCATTCCCTACCAAGAACCAGACAGTCATGAGTGGCTTTCGGCGCATAAACGGTGTAGGGCTTAGCACAATGATTTTGGGTTATGGCTCCAACTTTTGATCTTGTGCAGCTTTGCTCTATTTCCAGAACAAGTCAGTCTTTGGAGGGGAGCAGACGCAAATGTACTGTACTGCATCCTCCTCGTCCTACAACATGGAGTCTGGGTCGTGCTCATAAGCAAAGTCATAACGACATCGGCTCCACTGAGCTGTTCAGCAAGAAGTGCTTGCTTGACAATACTACGCTGAAGGATTTGGGATTGAATTTGGGCCAACCTGCGACAGGGATGGGGTTTGGCACGGGTTTGGGGTGAGCAGGTCATCCTCGGTTTTTCTTTTTCAGTGGCGGTGGCTCTGGGCCCTGCACCAAACAGCGAGTGAAGAAGTACTCAAAACCTTCCAAGTAGTCTGCCGGCTGAGTGTGGCACGGTCGCAGCAGGCGCCTCGCTCTCCGTGAAGCACAGCTCTGTGCTTATGAAAGTAGTGGTAGCAGCACGAGCAGTAGCAGCGGTAGGATAGTGTACTCAGCCGCAGTAGTAGCAGTAGTAGGAGTAGTAGGAAGACTAGCAGTAGTAGAAGTAGAAGCAGAAGAAGAAGCAGAGGTAGAGGTAAAGGTCGTTGTAGAGGTAGAGGTAGAGCTAGAGGTAGAGGCCGAGGCAGAGGCAGAGGTAGAGGTTGAGGTAGCAGTAGAAGCAGCAGCAGCAGCAGGAGTAGTAGTAGTAGTAGTCGTCGTCGTCGTCGTAATAGTAGTGGTAGTGGTAGTGGCAATGGTAGTGGTAGTGGTAGTGGTAGTGGTAGAGGTATAGTGGCAGTGGCAGTGGCAGTGGTAGAGGTAGTTGTAGTGGTAGTGGCAGCTGCAGTGGCAGTCTAGTAGTACTAGCACTAGCACGGAGTACGGCACGAGCAGGAGCAATAGCGGGAATTAGACCAGGAGCAGTAGCTGGAGTTGTTTTATAGCAGTAGCTCCGGCAGCAGCAGGGACAAGCCGAAAGAGCAGCAGTGGCAGCAAAAGGTTGTGAGCCTAAGATAAATAATCGTCGTTGCAGAGGTGGTAGCAGCCGTGGCGGCGGCAGTGGCATTGCCGGCACATCACTTACTTGTTATCAGTACCACGGCCCAGCAATTTCGCAAAGACGGAACTCCGTCAATCCGAGGCAGGCACCCATGCACCTCGGCATGCACAATCGATCGTGCAACGGCAGAGCTAGCGAAAGGTAAGATGAGACAACTTGAGACTTGCTTGCACGTCGACACAGGTCCGTTCGGACTAGAGCGCGAATTGCAGCAACACGCAGAGCCAATGGATCCCATAAAATCCCACTATCGGGTCGTACTAATCAAACTACTTGTTCATAAGTGGCGTTAGAATTGGGGTAACTCCATTTAGGGTACTTATATCCCTACCTGCAACCTACTGACTAAGTCCTCTGGGCCTCGAAGTAGGCAAACCCATCCAAGCTTCCGGCTGCTGGCTGGGTCCTGACCACTGGCGAACGCGAGTTGGAAGGCCGCAGCCTGCGCCGACGCGCCGAAAGCCTAAGACGGCCGGCGGTGCTTCGATGTTGAATTTTGGTCGCCATTTCAAGGCTTCAAGCGACGTATAGACCACCTGGAAGCCTGTTTTGCTGTATGTCATGATACACATGATACTTTCTAGCACACTGCTACAATGTATTCTATATGATAAGGTGGTCTGCCCCTGGCTTTAGATACGCGGCAGGAGATCTGCGGCAGCAAGATGAGCCTCAGGACTACATCTAATTACGGGTGAAGACTACCGTGAGTTTTTCGGGCTGCCCACTGAGCTTTGAGACTAATATTGTCAGGACTCAGGGATACTCAGGATTTAGGGTCATGGCTTGAGGGCCTTGGGTTTAGGGTTTCGCGCTCAGGGCTTTGGGTTAGTGGTTCCTTTTGGGGGTTCATGTTTAGAATTCTGTAAAGTAAACCCCAAAAGGAACTACTATGGGGCCTATGGTCTGGGACTCGAAACGGGACAGTACGTAACCATCCAGTCGAAATACCACTTAGAGGCCCTAGGGACATGTTATAAGTAGAGTTATAAGTACCCTAAATGGAGATACCTGCATCATACCATATTTCAACCCTACTTATAACCGACTTACTAAGTCCCCTGGGCCTTTAAGTAACCCTACAACCCCCCCTTTATAAAAACCCGTGGTAGATCCCTTTTCAAGAACCCTCAAAGGAACCCTCAACCCTAAACCCTAAACCCCCCAAACCCTAAACCCTCAACCCTAAACCCTAAACCCCCCAAACCCTAAACCCTCAACCCTAAACCCTAAACCCCCTAAACCCTCAACCCTAAACCCTAAACCTCCCAAACCCTAAACCCTCAACCCTAAACCCCCTAAACCCTAAACCCTCAACCCTAAACCCCCTAAACCCTAAACCCTCAACCCTAAACCCCCTAAACCCTAAACCCTCAACCCTAAACCCTAAACCCTAAACCCCAAACCCTAAACCCTAAACCCTAAACCCTAAACCCTAAACCCCCTAAACCCTAAACCCTAAACTAAAGGACCCGCAACTACTAAGTCCCTGGGCCTCTGAGCTCTTGGTCTCAGGCCCGCGAGCCACGGAGCTGCAAAGTGGCAAGGCTCCGGGCTAAGTTCCTGGGCTAGGGTTGAGGGTCTAGGGATTTAGGTTTAGGGTTTAGGGTTTAGGGATTTAGGGTTTAGGGTTTAGGTTTTAGGATTTAGGGTTTGGATAAGTTCCTGGGCTAGGGCTTAGTTGTAGTAGAAATCTCTGTACATAATATGGTTCTGATGTGTTTGCATTTCCCGTTTTGTATATATATATATATATATATATATATATATATATATTTATAGGTATGTATGTACGTAGACAGTGTAGCCCTGATGACTGGCAGGAAGATAGGAGACTTGCGGTCATTTCTTATTGTATATGTGGTATACGTATATATATATATATATATATATATATATGTATATATATAAATAAATAAATGAATAAATAAATAAATCAATAAATCAATATATATATATATACATATATATATATATATATATATATATATCATAGTCTACCATCATAGTATACCATAACATATTGTAGTAGATCATTGTGTACTGTACACTCTAGTATTAACTATACTACAGCTTTCAAAGTAAGACCAACTAAGTCGTTGAGGCAGCTTCTAGATGGAAAAGAAGCGAACGTGGCCTCAAGATACCCATCATCACTTGACAGTCAAGGGTTTGGGATCAACCCTCACTTGCAACTTAGCCGCGACAGGTGCTGGCTGTCAAGCTCGTCAACCTCTGCGAGGCACGAGTCTGCAACTCAGAAGGAACGAACAAGACGCTTACCCCACTTCCGATATTCGGATTAAACCTTGAGTAATTGCCGCAAGTTCCGCGCTTCTGACTTGTGCACCGCTAACTTGAGCACAGCAAAGATTTCCCGTTCTTACGACTGGCCCCGAACGTTTGGCCAGGAAGCCACCCGCTCTGGACTTCTTTCTGCAGGTATTAAACACTCACCCACAAGTTCTGTATAGCCTAAACTTCTGAAAACCAGGAAATTAGCACCTTGACCTTGCCCCTCTACCCTGCACGTTGAACCCTTGACCCCACATCCGAGATCTTGACCCGAATTCAACTCTTCAGAACCGGCAAACACTGGGCCCACCGCCGTTTGCAGAGCCTTGGCACTGGCCGCCTTCGACGCGGCAACGCCAGGCCATTCGAGAGTCGCCAGAGTTCGGCCTGGTCCGTTTTGCAGAATTTTAGTTTAAAGGTTTAAGGCTTTAGGTTTAAGTTTAGTTACATTCAGGTTTAGGAGAGCAGCAGGGCTATCGCTCAGGGCTGAAAGTCGTAAAGGGCTTAGAGGTTAATTGAGGTTAAGGGCTTCGGGGTTGAGGGTCCAGGGCTTTCAGGCCTTTGCGGTTCGGGGCTGGGTGGGTTCGGGGATAGATGGGTTCAGTGGCAGAAGATGTGTCGAAGAAGTAGGGTGCTTCCACCCCTGTGCGGCAATGATAGAGAGGGCTTCCCATCAGAAACCTGTGGTGGAAGCGCGTGGTTGAAAGCCCTCTGTGGAATACTTAGAAGATCGACTTCGGGCACCCAGATCCAGTCTGCAGCCCTATAACCTATAAGCCGCAATCTAGACAACTAGACTAGATTCTTTGCTGATATTTCTCGGAACGCCGCCGCAGGATAACTCGAAAGCAAACTGGCTGGAACAGGGCTCGGGGATTGCAACACTACGTTCTTCATTGAGGGCACAACATCGGGTAGAGCTGTCGTGCTTGGTGAGTTCCGCTGTCTGTCTGCAAGTATGGGGACCGCTAACCCGGCATGTAGTGCGAGTTGAAGAAAAAAACTCGCACCTGTATTCACGAGGTCTTGCACCGCAAGCTCCTCCATTCTCGCGAGGCCTCGTGGTCCCACTCGTTGGGGTCGAGGTACGAGTACCATAAGGACTTAGGGTGGTCCTAGCAACGAGGAAACAGCTTCGATCGTGGAGGAAGCCAGTCTTGCAGGAAATGGACTCCGTGCCGCAACCAGCATAGTCTTTCATGGCGA